AAGGGTCACTGGGGCTCCTCATCTACGTCACTATTAACCTCTCCTGAAAGCCCAGATCACACATGTGAGTGAAACACTGCTAAAAGATGTTAATCTAGACTGAGTGGATATTAATTACATTATTTTGTACTAACTATACTATATATAATGAATGTTTAAGGTTGACAAAACTATACCAACAGAATAAGTGCTTTAAAAGTTTTGATAGAAGGGTATTAGTTCAACTGGTTTAGCTTGCTTTTACTTATAAATCAAATGATAATGCAATAATTCACTTCATATTTCTAATAGAAAGGCAAAGAAAATAAATGGAAGATGTTAATTTCATTAAAAATATGAAAGGTTCATCAGGATCAAGCAATCAATCCAAAGAAAACCAACCATGATTGTCAACAGCCAGACTGTACAAATAACGGGTCTGTGAGTTTGATTGGGAAAGGATCGTGACCGGATCATTAAGAACTTTCACTATGGAAATCACTTTTAAATGAATAGGTCCCATTTTCTTGACTGAATGAAAACCTATACACTTTTCAACTCAGATTAGATAATGGAGTACATTCAACCAAAAATGTAGAATTTGTTTTAAGGAACTAGCGAGAAAAGGAACTGAACTATGTTTAAAGCATTTTGAGAACGCCTTGCCTAGTGGTCACACCTTCATCACCAGGTTATGTCATTCACCCACAAAAGGTGATGTTATTGGATTCCCCTTAAGGACCTGCAACTGTACAGCCAAGAAGAGAATTAGAGATATTTGTGTAGTGCCCTTTAAGGGTGAAGCATCCTCTATATAGATTTTACTGATTTATTCATTTATTGAGAGGAAGCAGAGGGTGAGAAGTGGGACAAGGAAGGGGATCTGTACTTGACATGGGGTATCTTCATGAGGATATGAGCTCCTAACTCATAGGCAGGTAGTGGTGAGGATACCCTGGTTGCTCAGCAGCGATTTGAAAAAAGAGATTATGAGACTCTTTCGGTGGTTTTGTGAAATCATTTCCTCCTTCTTTTTTATTACAGTATTTGAAAACTAACCAGATAGATAAAGAGATTTGAGATACTTCATGAGATACACTGTTATGACATTTTGAAAACTTTATCATTTTCACTGAATCAAAAAATATTTTTCAAACTCAGTCTGAATTCTCAAAGCTGTCAATTCTCAAAGTTCTGTCTTCATGCTATTTTTGGCAGCAAGCTCAGTAACTGCTTAACTGTTCCCAATTCTAGTCAACAAAATTCCCCTACAGGGGATTAAAAGTAAAGTTTTGTCTAAATAATAAAACTGCTTATATATTGCTTATATCCATTATGTACTTAATCATTACCGATTCTATTAAAAAAAAAAAAGTTCATTTCTAGACCATTTTTGCTCCATTTTGCTCCATTTTTCTACTGATCAGGAATTCTAATTTCTCTTTGCATGTAACTGTCATTTTCTTTCCTCTGTCTGTCCTTCCTGCATGCAAGGCCCAAATGGTTTTCCTGTCCTTTGTCCAATATGACTTTTGCGGGTCTATTAGCTTATGGTGATAGCTCTTCTAAGAAAATGAATTTATAAACAGAAAAGAGGGCACATGAAGTTTAAAGATCATGAAAACTGACACTTTTACGGAAAGCTGATGATCAAATTAGTTCTATTTTAAGATATGTGCCAGAAAATAGGTTTAGATTTAGGCTGTCTATACTGAGACATTGCACCTTTATTTCATGCTGGGCAAAGAGGAACTGCCTCCTTCTGAACTCCTTGAATGGAAATGTCAAGAAAAGCTTCCATATAGCAAGCAAAAGCAGAAAGGAATCCACTCAAGAGGAGTATGTGAATTCAATACCACAGCCCAGCCCCAGCCTACAGCTTGGGGAGAGAGCATCAATTGCTTTGTAGAAGCTTTTCAGCTGCATCTTCTGTAGGTATGTGATGGCACAGCTCAGTGTGTATCCTTCTGTCCTTAAACATCATAGAAAACTAAGACTCTTTTTCAAAGATAACTGATGGGATATATGTAAAACAAGATAATGTTTCACCATGTATGCAGTACAGTGTACTGCATTTGTACCCCAAAGCTATTTTAATAAAAAGAAGCACCTGCAGCAAGTTCAGAAAAGTTTTTATGGTAGTAGTGAAAATGCCATCCCACTTCCTACAGCTCCGTGCCCTTTGAATTTTCTAAATTCCCAGCACTGGCGTGAGCTCAACAGTCAGTTCTATTAATGAAAAGAGACACTGAACAAACATCTGGAAGCAGAGGACCATCAGTGACATCCGCTGACCAGCAGCCTCCTGCTGCCCAACATCTAGCAAATGGAATCTGCCCTTCCAGTTGTTTCACTCTGGTCTCACTCTTCTATCTGAGAGTATATTTCACAAAACAAATTTATGAAAGTAATATGTATAAATTAAATGCTTTACAATCCAGACTTCCCTTCTGTAACTGCCTGCAAAGTTCAAGTCAAATCTGTTAGGACATGAAGCCAGCATTGCATTGGTTGGAGCTGAAATTCTACTTCTCAGCAGCCTCTTGCGAGCTCTTCCCAAGCCTTTCATCCCCTTTTCTCTAGGAAGACCATTCATGGTGATTGGGATTTTATCTGTCTTAATATTAGCACAACCTGTAACCCAAACACCATTTTAATCTCATGCACACACCATGTTCTCCTTCCCTTAGTAACACTTCTAGCTGCAGCCCATGGAGAACCCCTGCAGGAGCACCCCAGGCCAGAGTTGCAGCCTGTTGGGAGCAGCCCATGGCGGGGCAGGAGGGCTAGGGGTGCTGCTGCTTGTGGGGACCTGTGTGGAGCAGTGCCTGAAGGGTGAGCCCCACAACACAGAGCCATGCTGGAACAGTGCTTGGAGAGCTGCCTGAACAGATCCTGCCTATCTTCCCACAGGCCGCATCTGTTCAGGAAGGGCAGTGCTCTGTGGGAGGGACACCACACAGAACAGGGTGTAGAGTGACCATGAAGTGAAGAGAGATGCTAAGTCTTCAGGTATGAGAGATTTTGCACTGAATAAAAGAATTTTCAAGGTAATACATGTAGCTAGAATCTTAGACATGAGGTTTTTATCTTTGTTACATTTTTTATTTGTTGAATTATCACACAGAAAATCACCAGAGCTATATACAACAAATGCACACGTATGCATTTACATGATTTTGAATCATACTCTTGCTCAAGTTATTATTCAGTGATGATAAGTAAACACATCTTTATAACACCAGGCATTGGCATTTAAGAATGTCACAGTGCACTGTAAACAAGGATGGATTACACCAGCACAAGCAATACTCATTTCAAATCATACAATATCAACATCATTCCTCAAAACTTTTTTTTTTTCTTTCAGACCTATAGTTATTGTCCCTTTGCAGAAAGATATGGCTACTGATTCACAATCCCGTCTCCTCAGCCATGAGCATTAAAAGAATCGAAGTCAAACATCCAGCTGCATATTGCATTCCTTTATTCCTGCCACAGAAATGGAATATTATGCATAACAGTAAATCAATTTGCCCTCATTGCAGAAGAACTGCAGAAAACTGGTAGGAGCTTCAGCACACCGCAATCACAAAGCAGTGGGGCTCTTTGATATGATCAACTCCTCATCCTGTCTACCTGGCCACCTCACATATTGTTACAAGGTGGTGAAGTTCTCACAATGAACAGAAATTTCACTGAGGGTCTACTGGAATGTCCTTTCCAGTAGGATCTACTGCTTAAAATTATCTGCATTTATTAGAAATATCCCTATATTCAGAGTAAGTAAAATGCTGACTAACTCACTCAAAAATTCTGGCTAAATTAAGTCATACGTATGTACTTGGTGCTAGTAAATCCCTTCCTATGGAAACCGTGAGTGGTAGCAAAATACAAAGAAATAAAAGTTCTGCAACCAATCTAGTTACAACAAAAAGGTTTGGAATGTGACTATAGGCATTTCTGTTCAGTTTGCTGGCTTCTAGAATGTGGAGTGTGAATTTCAGCCAGAACGATGCAATAAGACAAGGAAACAACACACCAAGAAATGTTCACAAGTTGATCAGCTTCGAAACAGCACAGAACTGGAATCCAGTACCAGATGAAGAGAAGGATGTCCCAAGTAAAGACCTTTTGTCAGTTCAGAAGATACATAATTAGACGTCAGAAAAACCTCTCTGCACATATATAAATTATAGAATCATATAATATTCCAAATTGGAAGGGATCCACAAGGATCATTGAGTCCAACTTTTGACTCTGTGCGAGACTGTCCCAGAAAAATGAAACTGTACTTCTGAGGCCATTGTCTGAACACTTCTTGAACTTTGGCAGGCTTGGTACCATGAGCACTGCTCTGAGGAGCCTCAGCCCAGGTATAAGCTTCTGCAATTCGTAATGAGCAGGTGGAGGGTAGAACCAGGCAAAGATTTATGAGATCTGACGTCTAAGCCCAGCTATTCCTGGAACCTGTTTCTTCATTTCTTCATTAGCTTTCTTTGCCGTGCTTTGCTCAAAATGTCATCCATTTATCTAAGTATTATCCATAGAGTGACCTGTCTACCACAAAAATACAGTGGAGGCCTACACTTAAATAAGACTTCCAGGTATAAATACTTAGTAACAACAGAATAAATGTAAGTAGAATGAGCCTGGACTTAGCCTGATTCATTTCCTTTGTGCTCTTGAGATATTTCAGAGATGTAGGACAGACAAGACACAATATTTTTCTTAGAAACAAGGAGAGTAAACTCCTTCTCTGTAAACTTCACTTTTCTGATAATTCAGAGAGTGCGCTTTAGAAGAGGATGAATGTTCAAAGAAGTAAGTAAGATTTCAGTTTTCTGTGGGATGGTGTTACTCTTTTATCTTAATTATTTTCCTGAAAGGAACTGTAAGTCCCGGTTGCTCCCCTTGAGGTAGAGAGAAGCCCCAAAAGACTGTCTATTACAGACACAGTGAGACTGTATTGGGTTGCTTGGTGAACAGAGTCCTTCAGAAATAATGTTGTAAAAATTGTATCATATAGTAAAAGAAGATGCATTGTCAGTCAGAATTTCACTTGTTTGTCGTGAATGATAAATGTCAGAATTTGTCTTTGAACTACGTTTATTGTATTTCTTGTACCTCATGCACCAAAGGTCCTTCATGATCTTCACAAAATAACTTCTAAACTTCACTCCAATAAACGCATAGAGTACAGGGTTCAAGCAACAGTGTAAAAATGCTATGGTCTCAGTGATATATTTTGCATAGGCCATTCCCTTTTCAAAGTCACAAGATTTCTCTTTCCTGCCCATATGTGCAACTGCCACAAGAAGAACAGTGTTATAGGGCACCTGGCAAACTAGGAAAACAGCTACAATTAATACAATCACATTGATTGCTTTGTTTCTTTTGGAATTCTGGGCTTGTTGTAAGGATTTGACAATGAATGCATAACAAAAAATCATGAATATGAAAGGTATAAAAAATCCAAATCCCACTTGTAGACACAGCAGCAGTGATTTCAGGACAGTGCTGTCAGACATTTTGTCAAATCTGTGATCGCAAATCTCTTTGGTTTCATTAATGGAGATGTTATAACTTGCACTGTATAGAAAAGAGGAACTGGAGATTAAGATAGCTGATGCCCACACAGCCAAACAAATCAATTTACTGTATGCAAGCGTTCTTGCCCTGAGTTTAAATGACTTTGTTGCCTGCACAATTGCGATGTAGCGGTCCACACTGATAAAGGCCAAAAGCAGCATGCCACAGCTGAAGTTGACTGCATAGATACCTCTGGCCATTTTGCAAATGAAATTACCAAAAATCCATTTGTCAGCAGCATAATTCACTGCCCACAGCGGGAGAGTCAGCACAAAGAGTATGTCCGCTATGGCCATGTTGAAGAGGTACACATCCGTCATGGACTTGGTTCGTTCATATAACGCGAAGGTCATCACTACGAAGATGTTACCAACCAGGCCGACGATACAAATCAGAGAGTATGCAACTGGCAGAAACGCTTTTGTGAAGCTCCTGACTTCCAACTTGGAACAAGGTGCTGTAATTAGAGAAGCGTAGTCTGCATCAAAATATTCTGTTGTACCGAAATCTGTCTGTGAAAAAAAAAAAAGGAAAAGATCAAGAGTCAACTCATAGGTGTCAATCCTTTCTATATGTGGTTCGTTGTTTAAGTACTTACAGTATTCATTTTGTTAGTGAGCTTCTGAGAAGGAAATATATGTGGAGAAGATTTTCAAAATGCTCTCCCAAGATTTCTGAAAAGGAAATAAAAGTTGGATTGGGAAAACAGCACAAGAAATGTGAAGAAGCAGAAAAACATTTGGAAATGGAACTTGGGTTGTAAGAAGAACCAGATTACATCAGCTGTATCAACAAGACACAGTATCTCAACAAAACACGTATCTCTGCGGCATGGCGTGCAGTTATGGAAGGTGGGTGGTTTGTATCAGTATCATTAAGAGCACCATCTTATATTCTTAGAGCTTATAAGTGATGGATGAGAGTATGTGTCCTATAGTTCACACTGACTTCACTCCACAGGAAATCTGAATAAATCAAATCTCACGTTCAAAAATGCAGTGTGACAGTTTAAATCAGTGTACTGAGATAGATACAGAAGAGTAAGCAGCATAATCTAGCATCTTACTATGCTCCATAACAATATACACTGTTTTAACCTCTTTTTTATGTATGTGTGTGATGAAAAAATGTTACTGACTCTCTTTTACTGAGGAGAAACTCAAGCATGGAGTCTTTACAGTAAGTACAGTAAGTACCTGTTCCCACCTCCCCCCCCTCCCCAACATCACTTTTAAGAGTGCTTATCATTGTGCAGGATTTCAGTTATGTAAAGTCAAATCCATTGACTGTGATTGCAGTGAGACTCAGACTTTTGCAAATCAGACCACAGGGTCTAAAGTTTTGACTTCAGATGGATAAAATAGGGAACATGCCACTGGTAGGAGCATGCCATTGGAAGCCACAAGCACAAAGCTAGATGTTACTGACTTGCTTAACCCCACACAGGAGCCCACAGGCAGGAGATCTAGATCTGCAAACACAGTCCGGATATTGCAAGGAATTGGGAGAGGGAAAGGACAGGACAGTCTTCACTCTCCAAAGGCATAGCAAGAATCAGTGTCCTCAAGCAGAGAGTCTGGCTCATATTGGACGTCTTCAGATGGGTAAAAGAGCATTTGAAGCGTGTGGTTTAAGCATCGCAGCTTCTTTGGCTTTCCTGTCTTTTAAACAAATCTTTAACCACTGCTCCAACTTCCTCTGTGAGTTTTCAAAGCTGATTTTTAGAAGCTGCGGGGATATGACAGCCTAAAAGCCCTTGAACAGCTTCTGAAGCAAGCTTTAGTAACTTGAAATGTTTTCTCTGAAGTACAGAGGTGTATAAGGCAAGCCGTCAAGTCATAAAGAACACCTGGGACTGTTTCCTCTGAGCTACCCTTGGTTTGTTTCCTCTGAGCTACCCTTGTCTGCAGCTGCTGCTTCTCCCTCCTCTGCCCCAGCCAGCCACACACCCATTTGTGGTGTCTCTGTTACACTTTGCACTGCCTGTACTAAACAGCTACCTGTTGTCACGGAGTTAACTAGATCAATCTATGCCCATGACAAGGGGGCAGTAGGCCCCTGGGCCCCCCCCCAGCCTCACAAAATGGGAAGGGAAAGGGAAAAGAGAGGGAGATGGGAGCTGGGCTCAAGGAAGGAAAAAAAACAGTGGCAACTATCTATGGAGGAAAACTTATTTTACTAACTATGATATTGGAATGCAAGATAATACAATATAATACAATCTAATTGAAATTGACACTAATAAATCAAATAAGATAGGAGAGAGAGAGGTTTGACTGAGACCGAGTCAAACGTGAAAAGGCAGTAAGAGCCCACCACATCTGGAAGGGCCAGGTCCCATGACTTCTGTGATGTATAGGGATAGGTACCCAGAAATGGAGCATTAACACTTTAACTCCCAGTGCACTACGTGATGTTATGATGTGGAATAATGAAAGCCAAAAAACATAAAACCATTACACCTGCCTAGGTTATTATTTTATAAACTGTTATTTTACTGTTGAATGGATAAGTAAACAAAGAAATAAATAGGAAGACACACCTTCCTTGGATATAAAAGTAATTCTTGAATACAAAGCATAGATGGAATAAAAAAAGTGTGAAGGCATTTAGAAAGAAGGGGGTACAGGTGTCTCCTGAAATCTGTAAGCACAGGCTCTCTGTATCCCTAAGAAATTCTTTGGGGCACCACCAGGCACACGTTTCTTCATGGGAGGACCAACAAAAGCCTCCTGAGGCTAGCTGGTACAAGAGGGTAGACAAAGACTCAAACTGAAACCAGAATAGCAGAGATCAGATTTACAATCTGATTTAAATCTCTTGAGCTTATTTCCTTTTGAGAATTTGGAATAGAATTCATCAAAGTTGTTAGGAAGGTGCACTGACTGCAAAGGAAGCTGAATCAGAACTATAGACTTCCTGATTTAAATCTCTGCAATAGTCTTTCAATAGGCAGCTTTACTTTGCACTAATATATTAGGGAATATTCAACAGTAAATTTCTGTACATACAGGAGTGAGCTGGGTGTGTTCTAATATTGTTTATCTGTTACATAAAGGCACATCTATGCACATGCCACACAAACACACTTCTGAACATTGAATGTCATATAAGCCCTCTATTTTCCACTCTATCTACATCAACTTTTCCTTTAGCTATAAAAGCAATATGTGAGTCCTACAGTATTAAGTATAAATAGGTGAATTGGAATTATAAAATAATGGCTGAAGAGTGACCTCAGGAAAAAGATGGATTTTTGTAGGGAAAAGATTTCTAAGCACTTGGAGGACATCAGAAAGTATTAGTCAAGCACTGCCTACCATTACAAGCACCCTCCTGCTAATGCATGTGTTTTTATGTATTCAGCATGCATCCATGCATTATATATAATATATTTTAGTACTTACCAGATTTGAAAATAGTCTGTAGGTCAGATGATACTGTACGACTTGTTACATTCTTCTATGGCTGGATCAAGCGCACTTACCATCAGCCTCAATAGAAGTATGCTTTGAGTTAAAAAAAAAAAAAACAAGAAATAACTGCAAGAGTCAAAGGTACAGAGTTAAATTGAAATTATCACCACTTCCTCCTGACAAGCAATAACTTGCTTCTTTTTACGTAAAGGAAATTATTTAACCTTATTTGTGCTGGAGACATGCAAGGCAGAGAGAAGTCATTGAATACTTGAGTGAGACTACCTATATAATAATTCTATTTGCAAAAAACTGAGCCAGTATTAGAATCATTAGAAATAAAGTGATAAGATGATCCCATTCGGGTAAAAATTATTCTGTGACTCTTTGATCTGTTTACATCTGTTTTTAAAGTTAATTGAAATCAGAAATGAAAATACTTCATTTTATGATTCATTATTTTTTTTAAATATATGCATCTATTTCCAGGCTTTAGTTGTTGATTGCAATTTAGATTAATAGGTAATTTGTAGAGAAAACTGAAAAAGTATATTCTTTCTTCTTATTTTAGAAATTGTTTTTGTGAGTGTTCATTTGAGCCTTGTTACCTCATTAGAGGCACCAGATAGCATTGATACAGGCAGTCTTTCAAGCTACGCTTAAATTAATAGATCCTAAAGAAATATAGGATGATAGATGTTTTGCTCCTATTTTCATTCAGAACAGAGCATACCACAGTGCAAGTAGATCCCAAGCAGCTTAAGTATGGTACTGCGTTCCATGAACCATAACCAGGAAATGAAACAAAGATGTGGCTGGATGAATTTAGAAATAAGTTACCATCATTCATAATCAATTAAGCAGGCATATAGCATTTTCTTATATGTATGGGTTTTTTTGGATCCAAGCCCTTAGGTTCAGCTACGATTAAATCCCAACATATTTGCCTGAATCACTAGCATAACACATTGATACTTAAAAACCCTGAAATGAGGATATCATTTTTCCTATGTATTAATTTATATGCTGACACACCCATGGATGTTTAAATTATTACTGCTGAAAAAATATCTTTGCTGCTTCATGAATACAGAGCAAAAAAATGTGAAATCAATCTGGATTGTGACTCTACTAACTTCAATGGACTCAATAAAAAATAATTTGGACTTCTTATTGCTGTTTGGAACAAAGCACTGCCTGTCATCCCAGATCTGGGGAAGATTAAGACTGAATCTAAAATAAATGAGCTAATGAAATATGGTTTAGAAAAGTTCAATATGTGGAAGAGAGATGTGAGAGCAGAGAAGATGATTTAAAGAAAGAAAGTGAAGAGAAACAGTAGCAGACCATTAAGATAATTTCCATTACAAATTTCCATTGATAAATCAAGATAACACCTGCAGTTATAGGACTGAGTTGCAGCAGTGGTCAAAAGACTTGTTGATCTGTGGTGACTGGATGGGCATGGAGTTTTAGAGTCAGGCTACCACACGTGATTCTGTTGCTCACTGAGTACCTGGGACAACTTTTGGAGATCTGTCATTCTCCTCTAGTTGCCTATGATGTTCTATTTCTTTTCAAATGCACTGGTACTAAATTATAATCTCTTAGGCAGCCAGGAGGCTTTCCTACCTGATCTCAATCTCCACAAAACTCGGCATAAAGTAGCGGCATTTTATTAAGAATGATTAGAAAAGCAAGAAGCAATAAAGCAGAAGTTATGGTAAAGCTTCTGTAAAAATCTGTTGGGCTCCCACCACACAGCTATAATACAGTTCTGCTCTTTCATGCTCAGGAGGCAAATGGTGAGGCAAGGCTGTTGCTAGACAGTTATCAGGTGTATAGGACAACTAGCTGAAGAAAGATGGAGAAGGTGGTCTGGAAAAGAAACTTCCTAGACATGACAGTGTTCTATAAAACCATGAGTTCTGGGAGGTTTTAAACACAAAATGAGTTACTGAGTCAGAGAAAAAAATACATAGGGAGCTTCCTATGAAGCTAGCAGGTAATATCAGGTAAAATAAAATATCATCACACACTAGGGGATTTTTTGTTTTGGGATGTTACAGAGGAAAAACACACACAAGAGTTCAAAGAGGGATTAGGCAAATACAGATCTAGGAGGCCTGCAGAGGTAATTATTCCTAATAGCTTGCAGGAAGCCTCCAGCTCAGTGGCATGGTTAGAAACAGACTCCTGAAAGCTGAAAAGATACCCCAGG